GGCCGCCTATCTGTGCTCACCCTGGGCCCCCGTCCTGCTCTGCTGAGGGGGCACAGGTGTGGGCTGCTCATTCCCTCCCATCTGTCCCCCGCTTCTCCTCTGGGAGCTGAGAGGTGATACGCTTCATTCCCAGCCTCTCCTGCAGCTAGATGGGGACTGTGAGACCAGCCTGGCCAAGAGTCACAGGGAGAAAAGGTAGAATCCCAAGAAGACAATGCCTTTGCCCTTCACCTTACCCCCTGTTGCATGCCCCCGGATGCAGGTGGAATGCTTTGAGCTGTGTGGGCAGGCAAGCTCCAGGAAGGTTGTAATGAGGCTGGTTTCTTCACGACGTCCCTGGATCCCGGCCCCAGCCAGGGGACAGTCAGTTGGGTGTGTGCCACGGAGGACTCACAGGAGAGGCTCAGGAAACAGAGGCGATTGGATCTAGAGGCCCAGAGACAGGAGGCACAGCAAACCCCGGGGGGGGGGCATCTTGGTGGTCACGTGGCAGAAACCGGAGGAGGGGAGAGCCCCAGCCAGAGTCTCTACTGGGGTTTCCATGCGAAAGGCAGGGCAGGGCAGGGTGAACAGCTTAAAACTGGCTACTTTAAATAATTCTAGCAGGTTCTAAATGACAAGGGTGTCCCTTAGCTGCCTGGTCCCTGGCCTGTGATGATGAAGGCAGAGGTCTTGCCTCTGTGGTCCAGGTGGAGTCTGGCTCTGGGCTGACCTGTTTGCATAGCAAAGGCTTCCCCTGGGCTCTTCCTCCAAGAACAGGCTAAGCCTGGAAGGTCAGTCTTTTCCCAGCCGGAAAGAGTTTTTAAGATGTTGAAACATCTGGGTACCGGCACCTGCTGCCTTCAGCTCAGGTCATGATCCCAGAGTCCTGGGATGGAGCCCTGAATCAGGCTTCCTGCCCAATGGGGAGTCTGCTTCTCCCTCTCCTTCTGGGCACTCGCTCTCTCTCTTTCTCACTAATAAATAAATAAAATCTTCTTTTAAAATGTTGAAACATCATAATACACAGAAAATTAAAAATATATGCAATATAAACACAAACTTTTTTAAGCCACTTCTTGTTGGTCGTGCTCGGGCTGTCACCTTCGGCAGGACGCGTCCTAGTGGGTCAAGGTGACCGTGGCCGTGTACCATTACTTAGGGAAGGTGCTGTCTTTGTCTATGATCTGGGACAGCTCATACATCACATGGGAACAGATGATGGAGATCCTCGTAAACACGCACCCAGGGCCCACTGTCGTACCCTGTAAGTTAACATCTGGTAACTTCAAAACTTCTTCCGTGGGGATTATTCTGTTCGGGGTTTCTACCTCACCCATCTTCAGAACAAATGTGCCAGTTTACTGATCAAGTCGTCTCTAACTTCTCGGTCTCGTTAGCTCTGTTCCCATCACTATTCATTCCTTCCTTCTATACTTTACGTGTTTTCTTTGCTATGGTTACTAGCATATTGAGTTGAATGCTCAGAAAATTTTATTTCAATCTTTCCTATTTTCTGGAAAGCGCATCTAAGGTTACACGCCGCTGTGGCCACGCAGGGATCTGGGGCCCTTCCACACCCCCAGCACTAACCCCCCATGCTGGGCCATCAGCCGGTGGCAGGAGGGATGCCGGCCCCTATGGTGGTCAGTCACGCTGAGCGCCAGACACCTTGCACGGCCCCCACCACCCAGCACAGATGTGTCTCGTGTGCGTTGGTGTGCCAACTGTGCTTTTCATCCTTATTGACTTTAAAGCGTTCATGATTTCCATTTTTCTTGACTCTTGAATCCAAAATTATACGGAAAGTTTTTCGCACTTTCCAAGTGAAAAAAACTCTTTCTTTTGCCTCTCAAGTACTTTCAACCCAAGAATGTGGCCAAAATTATTTCACTTTTATCAGTTCCCCATGGGTGTTGGAAAAGAATGGATATTTCCATTTGGGAAGGACAGACAGGTAGGTGACCGACAGATGATAAACAGTACACGTATGTTGTATCAGGCTTCGCTGGTATACATTCCCCACTCTTAATGTGTGTGGGTTTGTTTTTTTAAGATTTTGTTTATTTATTTGACAGACAGAGATCACAAGCAGGCAGAGAGGCAGGAAGAGAGAGAGGGGGAAGCAGACTCCCTGCTGAGCAGAGAGCCTGATGTGGGGATCGATCCCAGGACCCTGAGATCATGACCTGAGCCAAAGGCAGAGGCTTAATCCACTGAGCCACCCAGGCACCCCTTAATGTGTATGTTTACTTGATCTTATTTCTGAAAGCCTCCACGTGTGGGTGAGGCTCCTGGACCCCAGGGTGCTGACCGCAACCCAGCTGCCCCAGACCCCCTGGCCTACCAGGCCAGCCATACCCCCAAGACAGAGCTCCCTGCAGCCTCCTCCCATTTCCCAGACTCACAGACTGGGAGCCCTCCGAGGGTAAATGCTGTCTGCACGGACCCCAGCCCTCACAGCACTGCCACCTAGTTAATTAGGGCTGGATAACCGAGACGGCACATGTGCTTCCCCGATATCTTCTTGATCCTCACGAATATCTGGTTGGTGTCGATCCCACAATGGGGAGCTCAGTCCTCCAACAGTACAATTAAAACCACCCTCTTGAAGGGAGGCAAATCCCCGAGAGACTCCAGTGAATGCAGCCTATGTGAGCACAGCCACCGGCCGCACCTGCGAAAGCAATGATGTCATGGCTTTGTCTCGCCCTGACTGTCCCCCAGCAGGAATCGGGGCCACTGAGGGGGACAGGGTCCCTTTCACATCTGCTGAGGTCAAGATGTTTGTGTCCTCCCCAAACTCATGTGCTGAGTTCCTAAATCCTGGCGTTCACAAATGGGATCGGCACCTCATGAAAGAGCTCCCTCCCCCCTCCCCCCTCCCCCCTCCCTTAAGAAGGGACAGCGCGAGGACATCTGTGACCCAAACATGGGCCCCCAGCAGACACCTCACAAATCTGCCAGCCAGAATCTTGGACTTTCCAGCCCTTGGAACCTTGAGAAATAACTTTCTGTTGTTTACAAGCCCCCCGGGGTGCGGTGTGTGCTGCAGCCGCCCAGACGGACCCAGACGGCATCCTTCTAAACAGCCCAGATGCTCGAAACAAAACACGGGGAGCTCAGAAGCTAAAGCCGAAGGAAGCAGCTTCTGCAGCCCTGGTCTACCTTCATCTCCGGTGACATCTGTCCACCACGTAGGGATAAGGGACCGCGGCCACCCCAGGGAGGTCAAGTCAGGGGGCAGAAGGCTGAGCCAGGCCGAGTGTGGGAATGGACGCAGAGCCCAGGCCAGCAAGGTCCCCGACTGCACGCAGCCGCTCGGGGACGTAAATTACAAACACAACCCACCTGGGAGACCCCAGAGCGTCCTGGGCAGCCCGGGGCTGGCACCACCCAGGACCACCTTGTCCTGGCCCCTCGGCCCTGTCCACCCACAGCAGGCATGCCACGTTCTCTCCTGCAGTCACCCTCCGCAAACCTGGGACTCAGAGGATGCCCCCAGCTGCTCTGTGCCCTGTTGCCCCTGCAAAGCTGAGTAGAAGACACTCATTCCCCACCTCCAGCCAGAGATGATTTTCAGCGCGATGGCAGACAGAGGACAGCTCCCCATGGGAGGGAAGGGACCCAGCCATGGAAACTCAGTCCTGAAGTACCAGGAGCAGGTAGCCTCTGGCAGGCCAGGTGACAGTGGCAGAGATCCCTGGGTGTGACCGCCGCATCCCAGCGGGACAGGGTTCTGGAGAACCAGCAGTAGCCGGCTCCATTCTCTCAGACCCTCACGGGGGAAGGTCATCCGGAGCTGGGCTGGCGAGAGGAGCAGGGCCTCTGAAGGGCATGGAACCTGCCTGCGGGTTCTCTCTGGCCTCCCCCAGAGCCCAGCCCCACTGCTGGTTGCAGCAAGGGCGCACTGGAGCCCACAGCCACATCCGAAAGACCGCCTGGAACTGGACAGGGACAGCAGCCAGCGGGAGGCCTCGGCCCGCTGCTCCACCGGAAGCCTCCATGACCAGCACCGGCCCCGCCACCTGAAAACCCGCCAGGTGGTCCTGAAATGCACCCAGAAGGCCAGGCGGCAAGCACCTGCCGGCATCCCTCCGTCGGCCCATACCCCCCACGCCGCTTGAAAGCCTCAGAACTCTGACATTTTGGGGTTCTGGGGCGTCCCTCAGTGACTTTCTATCTGGAAAACCAGCGAGCGGACTTGTCAGCCCCAAGAGACAGCCTGTCTCCGAACACCCCGAAATAAACCAGGGAGGCCAGAAGCGATGACTCTTTACTCAGAGAAAGCACACACAGCGCAGACAGAGCCAGCCAGCGCGCAGCTCACGGGACCCCAGCCCAGAGGGGCCTGACTCACGGGGGCCTGGGAAGGAGGCCTGCGCCGGGGGCACAGACGGGGGTCTCAGGCGGTGCCTGGCCGCCAGGGGACCCAGGCCTGACTCTCGGTCTGTCGGGGTTTTCCGTCCTCAGGCCGTGTGTGGGCTCCCCGCCAGGAGGGCTCAGACACTGCGCAGCAAGATCCCACAGACCCCAAGCGCACATCTAGCCGACCCCTGCCCGGGTGTGAGCCGGCAGGCCAGGCCGGGGAGGGCCGGGCAGCGCCAGAGGGGGTGGAGCCAGGGTCAGCGCAGGAGGCGGGGTCAGAGCAGGGGGTGGGTCAGGGCAGGGGGTGGGGTCAGGGCAGGAGATGGGGTCAGGGCAGGGGGTAGGGTCAGTGTAGGCGGTGGGGTCAGGACAGGAGGTGGGGTCAGGGCAGGGGGTGGGGTCAGGGTAGGAGGTGGGGTCAGGGTCGGAGGTGGGCTCAGGGCAGGGGTGGAGTGGGGTTGGGAGGCGGAGTCAGAGCCAGGCCGGGGGTGGGGTCAGGGTAGGAGGTGGGGTCAGGGCAGGGGTGGAGTGGGGTTGGGAGGCGGAGTCAGAGCCAGGCCGGGGG